TCGTCGGTGTACACCCCGACGGCGTCATGATAGCGCACCCGCACTTGCCGCCAGTACGCGTCGTCTCTCGCCAATCCCATGAGCCCGAAGATTCTGTCCTCCGGCATGGTCGCCCCAATCTTGTTGCCCTCCTTGTCGATGTTGTACTTGAGGACAACGTCATACAGATCGCGCTTGCCATCCCCGGTGTGTATGGCCCTCCGCTCCTGGAACAGACGTATGACGGCGGCGTTCAGCTGGAAGACGCGTTCCCGCTGCTTGATCGTGGACACGGGGACGTCTCCCTTGATGTTCCTCAACCACCACACGTTGTGCACGACGAAGAAGAGCATGGCCGCGCGCAGACACGTGACGCAGACGACTTCTCCGCCGCAGAGGAGAACGGCGTCGCGCACGAGGCAGAACTCCTGGATGACCCAGAGGCGGCTGAACCACGAACGACTCTGGACGTCGATCGCGCTCGCCAGCGGGAACTCGGGATTCGCCTGAATGAGAGCGAGCAGCGCATCGCGATCGGCAGCCACGGCGGGGCTCGCAAGGCATGGTGGGATCGGCGACGGCGTCGTAGATCGCGAGAAACTCTTTCCCCGCGATCTGGACGATGCGACCTAGCGGAGACGCTGCGTTGATTTGACGGACGAAGCGGAAGTAGTCGTCTGAGGCGGGCGTTGAGGGGCCGAGGCGTACGACGACGCGAGTGCTGCGTGTGTAGATCTCGCCCATGAGCGGGACCTGACACGCCTTGTCGGCAGGGCTGCGCTGATCGATGCATATCTGGTCGATGAAGATGGCGCGTTGGGTGAAACCTGCGGCTGCGAGTTCGAGAATGGCCGTCTCCAGTGGCTCGTAGATGAAAAGACGGCGGGAGCCTGTTGGCGTCGAGACGTTTATCGGACGGTCTGGCTTTTCATCGCCTCCGACACCCCAGTGGTAAGAGAGAGCGTCATACGGCACTGGATTAGGAAGGGATGTCTCGACGATGGAAACATCAATAGTTGGCGGTGAAGTCGCCGTGTCAACAAGCGAAAGACGAACGAGCCGAAACGTGCCGGCAATTGTAATGGGGAGAATACTGGTATGGCTCCATGATGGACCTCGCTCCTCTTGGGTCGCTGCTGAAAGTTCTGTCGTGGGGCGATAGGCAATGGTGACGTCGAACAACTCTCGAAAATGCCCTT